GTCACCGGGGACGTGCCTGCAAGCGGGGCCCAGGTCCTGCCTGGGCAGCCCTGGCACTGGGAAGCCCTTTTATTGCCTTGAGCTGGGCCACCGCCCTGGAAGCAGGGCTGGGGCCTCTGCTCTTTTGCCTCCCTCCGGGCTGCAGGGCACCATGGTGGTGAGAAAGGTGAGTCTAGGGAGGCTGAGCCTGGGGGGGTAGGGGGTGGAGGGGGGAAGGATAGCTTGGGGTGGGGGAGCGCTGTGGGGACCTCCCTCCGGGGGCCGGCATCCCTCTCTCCTCCAGGCGGAGGAGCCGGTGCTTGACTGCGCCCTCCTTCCTTGGCAGCAGCTCCTGGAGAAGAAAGACAAGGCATCGTGTGGAACTGTGAGGCAAGAGTGAGCGAGAAGAGGAGCGGCAGGCTGAAAAGGGGGAAAGAGAAGGGCGTTCTGGGCAAAGGGACCTCCCTGTCACCGGGGATGTGGTCACACAAAAGCATTGCCAGCACCTTTGGTGCCCTGGCTGGCTTTGCGCTGGGCGACCTCCCTGTAACCAGGGCTCGGTCTTTGCTTCAGTTGTCGTTGGCCTTTTGCCGTCTTGCTCCTTTGGCTGCCCGGAGGGAGTGGCAACCCTGTAAGGAGGGTGAGAGCCACCGTCTCCGCACCCGAGGGGGAAATGGAGCTCTCTGGACCCCGAGGCCACCCTGTAAGCAGGGGAGGGCCGTTTCCCCGGCCCCGGCGGCTTTCTGCCCGCTGGCGACCTGGCCAGCGTGACCCCCTGGAGTTGGGGCGTGTCACGGCATTTGCCCCTTGACCCCGGTGAAGCCCCTTGGCGTGTTGAGGCCTCTCTCTGCGGCCTCCATGCAGGCTGGGGACCCCGTGCCCACCCTGTAAGCAGGGCAGGGCCGTTTACCCGCCCGCCTCCTCCCGCCCCGCTGGCTTTCTGCCTGCTGGTGGCCTGGTTGGTGTGAGAGCCCTGGACTGGGGGCGTGTGTCACGAGCCGTGGAGCCCTCTGTCCCCAGGAGCAGCCCGACCTCCCCGTAAGCGGGGCTGGGGAGGCTGCTTTAGCCAGCCAACAGGACGAGCCCTCCCTCGCCCTTTAGAGGGTGCAGGTTGAGGAAGTGCCGCGCCGGAGGGCGCAGTCCCGCCTCTGGCGCTGCTTTTGGCTGGGGTGACCTCCCCGCAGTTGGGGTCGAGGTCGCTCCCTGGGCTCCTGAAGACGTGGTGGTGTGCTGCAGCCAGGCCGGCCGGCCCGTAACTCGGGCGCAGGTCGGAGCCTCGGGCTCCGTGGGGCTTGTTGGGAGTGCCGAGCCGCGGGGGACCGCCCTGTAAGTAGGGCTGTGCGTGTCCCCTGCGCTCGGCGGGAGGTGCTTGGAGGGACCCCCTGTAATCAGGCGGGTGCCCCTGGCCCCGGCCTTTCAGAGGCGTGGGGCCAGGATGTGTGGGGCCGGGCGTGTGCCCTCCCTGTGCTCGGGGCTGGGCCCCCGGACCCCCGGCCTTTGGCCGTGGAGCTCCACTGCCTGGCTGTCGAGTCTCGTTCCTGTTGCTGCGGGGGAAGGCCGAGCTCTCTGGCCCCCTGGGTGTCGACCGGCCTGTAACCAGGCTCTGGGTCTGGGAGCCTTTGTGCTCAGCTGGCAGCCTGTGTGGGGTGACCGCCCCGCTAGCGGGGTGCGGGTCAGGGTGCCCCTGAATCGGAGAGAAGGAGCCTCCGTGGGCCTTTGGGACCAGGGCTGCCCCGTAAGTCGGCAGCGCCCTGGAGTCCCGGGCGCTTTGCAGTCCAGGCAGCGGCTCGATGGTTTCTAAAAATCTAGGGAACGGCACTGAGCCAAGTACGTCCCCCAGAGTCATAAAAAACATCCCAAAAGCGCCAAGGATGCTCCTGTGTGACCGCAGCCCTGGTGACAGGGAGGTCCCTTTGCCCAGAGTGCCCTTCTCTTTCTCCCTCTTCAGCTCGCTGCTCCTCCTCTCGCTCGCTTTTGCCTCGCAGTTCCACACACGATGGATGCCTCTTCTTTCTTTCTTCTCCAGGAGTTGCTGCCAAGGAAGGAGGGTGCAGTCAAGCGCTGGCTCCTCCGCCTGGAGGACAAGAGGGATGCCGGCCCCCGGAGGGACCTCCCCACAGCC